GTGAATGTATATTAGACAAATCAGGTGGCGTGTATTAGACGTGTGAGGTCGTTTGTTTACTCTTGAACATTGACAAAAATTTAACATTTCCGCTGCTTTGAGCTCAGTTTCAAGCCATTTCCCATGCTAAAACCAATCAAAATCATCTCTATCTCTGTAATATATATTCCATTCTATGAAATGAGACCAAAAAATTGCAAATATAACTATAAAAAACATACGAAAAAACACTGCAAAGTCGCTGTTTTAATCGAAAATCACGGTCTCAGTTTTTTTCTCTCATTATACACTGTGTGCTGCAGGATTTGTTTTATGAGGTGCACACATACCACATAGATGTATTCTCTCATATCTAGGCCCAAATTTACCACTCACAGCTTATCAGAGTGAGCTGAGCTCATGGCGTAGATCTACGGTTTGGACCCTGAATGTAAAGCCGTAGATCTACGGCACAGACCCTGAAAGGGTTAAATTTACCCCATACATCTACCCTATTGCCTATACAGTGGACCCCCGCCTTACAATCAGCTTCCATTGCGACCAATTGTGTAAGTGTATTTATGTAAGTGCTTTTGTACGTGTATTTTTGGGGGTCTGAAACGGACTAATCTAATTCACAATATTCCTTATGGGAACAAATTCTTTCGGTAACGGCACCTGAACATACTTCTGGAATGAAATTATATCATAAGGCGGGGGTCCACTGTACTCTCAGTAGCCCATCTATCCTCCAATAGTTGTTTATATCTTACCCTAAATGTCTCCTCCTTTAGTTTATAAGCCTTCGCCTCTCTCTTACTTCCTGCTTCCGTTTTCCTTGTATCCCATCTACCTTTTACTCTCACTGTAGCTACAACTAAAACGTCATCAAATATATCTCTGGCCCCTCTATAAACATGTACATCCTGAAGTCTACCTAACAGTCTTTTATCTACCATTAAGTAGTCCAAAAAACCCAATTGCCCATTGCCCCTATATCATATCTTGTATACAGTAGGGCCCCGCTTTATGGCGTTTTGCTAATACGGTCATTTCAAATTATGCCCCAAAACACACTATAGGGCTCCCCCACCTGTCTTTCTAATACAGTCTCCGTGCCCCACCCTGTTGTTTACATTCTATGTGAGATCCGTAAGCACTAAGTCTCTCCATTATGTCTGTAAACTCCAAAATTTCAGGTGTTTTTAGAAGTTATTTCATATTTTATATATACTCTGGTAATTATACTTATGTATACCTGTACCTAAATAAACTTACATACTGTGCTGGCATGCAGGTACACATTAAAAATCAGTAAGAGTGTCTATGTCTCGAGACGTCATATTAGTAATGATAATAATAATCACCGAGTCTCATCAAATGTTGTATATTACGTTAATATACAGTGGACCCCCGGTTAACGATATTTCTTCACTCCAGAAGTATGTTCAGGTGCCAGTACTGACCGAATTTGTTCCCATAAGAAATATTGTGAAGTAGATTAGTCCATTTCAGACCCCAAACATACACGTACAAACGCACTTACATAAATACACTTACATAATTGGTCACATTCGGAGGTAATCGTTATGCGGGGTCCACTGTACATATTTTCACTAATCCATCTATGATATTTTTTCAAAATTACATAATAAACACGATGCATAACATATAAATAAGATAAATAAAACCCCACAGTAGAATAAATAAACATAAATATGAGATGTGGTACCAGATGACTTGCACAAATGATGCCATATTAGAAATAATAATAATAATAATAATTATCACCGAGTCTCATTAAATGTCGTATATTACGTTAGTATACACATTTTTATTAATCCATCCATGATATTTTTTTCAAAATTGTATGCTAAACACGATGCAAAACATATAAAGATGATAAAATACACCCCACAATAGAATAAATAAACATAAATGTGAGATGTGGTAGCCAACTTTATGAGTGACTGCAAGAATAACATTTTCTAGTCCAACATCAGAGAAAATGTGTTACTGGGGGTAACTGTAGACAATTATTCGTTTCGTATGTAAGTAAGTTTATTCAGGTATACACAAATACAGTTACATTAGATTATCATACATAACAGCATATGTGTAGAGAACTAGGATACCCAAAAAAGTCAGACAGAGTGACTTATTTCCATTGCCTTCACTCAGAGCAATATTTCTCTAAAAATGGTGTTACATGCGAATGGGAGTGTTCTTCTTTATTTATTCTACCGTATCAATGTAGAGACAACTTGTACACAATGTAACTTGTACACAAACCAGACGTGTACACTTTGTGTGTTTACAAAACTTGCGTTCGCCTGGTTTGTTTACATAACTCTGCGCCTGTCCTCCCTCATGTACTCATTCTCTCTCTCTCTTGTTTACATATATTTGTTTTATCTCGTTTACCCTACATTAAGCCTACAAATATTTTAAGGTAAGTAATGAGTGAACTGTTAATGCATTTTATCGCTCTGGGATGCTTAAATATCATAGAATAGTATGTGTGGGTGGGTTGGCCTAGTATGGTAGCCTGGCTGACTACCATACATACTACACTTGATTTCTTACAATAAATACTACTCATCTAACCCTAGATTAAATGTAATAGAATATTATGTGTAAGTAGGGTGGCCTGGTATGGTAGCCTGGCTGACTACCATACATACCTTGATTTCTTACAATAAATACTACTTGTCTCACCCTAGATTAAGACTACAAATATTTTAAGGTAAGTAATGAGTGCACTATGTGTGTATTTTACTTTTTTATTGTTTTTTGATGCCTGGTTCTATTGCTAACTTAATATATGTTAGTGTAAACTTGTTATCTAGTGTTTGTATACATTTATAAGGGGAAAAAAGGGTGTTTCACTTTACGGCGATTTCCACTTTACGGCGGTAGCCTGGAACCTAACCTGCCATATAAGTGGGACCCTACTGTACTTATTTATCCTCTGTTTCTTAGAATATGTATTACCTATAACCAAACCCCTTTCTATACAAAGTTCAGTCAAAGGCTCCCCATTATCATTTACACTTGGCACACCAAACCTACCTACCACACCCTCTCTAAATGTTTCTCCTACTTGAGCACTTAGGTCCCCTACCACAGTTACTCTCTCACTTGGTTCAAAAGTTCCTACAACACTTGCTTAACATCTCCAAAAATCTATCTCTTTCCTCTACACTCCTTTCTTCTCCAGGTGCATACACACTTATTATGACCCACTGTTCACATCCAACTCTTAATCCACATATTCCTTGAATTTATATATTTATATTTCCTCTTCTCTTTCCATAACTGATCTTTCAACATTATTGCTACCTTTCCTTAGCTCTCTTTCAGATACTCCTGACTTAATCCAATTTATTTTCTCCCCACTGAAACACCCCTACCCCCTTCGCTTTGTTTTGCTTAAAGCTAGTACATCCAACTTCTTTTCATTCATAATATTAGCAATCATTTCTTTCTTATCATCCACAGGAACATTATTATCCTACGATCTACTATATATAGAACAGCCATAGTACACTTCTTATTAAGTTTGTATTTACATAACTAATTTACATTATCCAATTCTCCTGTTAATAAATGCAAAGGATATTGTATTGAGTTCACATACATTTAGCTCTCTTGTAAAGCTCCTCTGAATAGTGCAATTTTTTTACATGCAATTGAAAAGTATCTAGAATTAAATAGCATGTGACAAGCCTTTGTAGTACATGCTATTCCGTTTTGGATGCACCTTTTCAAGTGTATGTGCAAAAAGTCACACCATAAGTTTGGGATCTGGCAGTGAATACATCATAATATAGTCAAGCATAAATGTACAGTATTTAATAAAATCTAGTAATGTGATTGATATGATGTCAATTGTAATGCTTTATTCTCACCATATAGTAACCCACAGTCTTCCTGGCATGGCTTGGGCCCTTTAAAATATAGAGACTGAATGACAAAAGTGTGTGTGTGTGTGAGGGAGCACAAACAATAAACTGGCTAGGCTGGCCTACTGCTCAGAGAACAACGAAAATGGACAGGTTCTGGACATGGCTGCTTTGTCCCATACCAGACAAACATGGACATTAACAGACTTGGCCTGATAATTCAGAAGACAACTGGACACTATTGCTACTGACAAAATGCAGAATCACTCACTTTCGTCCATTCTGTTTGATAATTAGAGCATTTGTCCAAAATTTCCAAAATCCGTCATTGAGAGGTTTACTATATATACATTAGGAAAGGGCAAGAGTAAAAGTCTAGGGAAAGGACTCTTCATGTTATATACTAATTACATTCCAGGTATACTCAGGGTGTCTTGAAGTTAACAAAGGGTTCTTCATCCTAGGAATTAGAGCTGCTCTCATTTTTTTTTCATCAAATTGGATTTCCTCCCATTACCAGGTACTAAATAGTCTTCTGTGGGTTTAGTGCTTCCCAATAGTAGTAGTAATAATAATAATTGTAATAATCTTCTTTCAGCAAACTGCCACTTATGACACACATGGCTTATGGAGGAAGAATTTTCTTCCACTTCCCTATGGAGAATAATAATAATAATAATAATAATAATAATAATAATAATAATAATAATATAATAATAATAATAATAATGAGTTCATAATAATAATCTGCACTTCTAGAGATTTCATTAACTCTGCTCATAGCTGTTGACCCTTTCCACCTAAGTACTAAATAAGTATGTGAGTGTTGGCAAGCTGTTGTCACTTGCGTCTTGAGGGGTAGTAGTGATAGACCTTAGGGCTGGGCTTCAAAATGATCTGATGTAAGATAACAACTCTTAGCTCTATATTCAATGGGCTATAAAAGAAAGGATTGTCTTATTCAGTTTCTTATTTAGAAATATTTTGGAGAGTGTTAAAAATCATGAATTTTGACTTTATGTGCTCTTTTTATAATAGTTTTTTTATTTATCTTCAATCTTTTAATGCAAATTAGTTAAGTTAAAGCTTTAGTTACTTATCCCAAAAATATTTCAGCCACTTCCAGATATATTCATTGGTATTCAAGTCAGTATACCAAACAACACAGAGAAAATTGATGAGCTGAAAAGATATGTTATAGCGTATCCTTTTATATATACTAGAAAGATATAATGTGTGAGGTAAGTGGCTTGACTCCTGTGTCTTTATTCCATTTAAAAATTTACTGTACTGTTCTTGAAATAGAAAATAAATTTTGTGTAAAATAAAGATTGGTGAAAATTAACCAACTTGATATGGAATTATAAGGTGTTCAGTTAAAGAGGTAAGATAGTAGGCTTGTCTTCAGTGTTTTTATTTCGATAGCTGTCTCCCACTGAGGTGGGGTTTCTGGAGAGATTATCTGGAGAGAGTTCCGGGGGTCAACGCCCCCGCGGCCCGGTCTGTGACCAGGCCTCCTTAGGTCAGTGTCCCAGGATGCGACCCACACCAGTCGACTAACACCCAGGTACCCATTTTACTGATGGGGAACATAGACAACAGGTGGAAAGAAACACGTCCAATGTTTCTACTCTGGCTGGGAATCGAACCCAGGCCCTCACCGTGTGAAGCGAGAGCATTAACCACCAGGCCACCAGAGCCCCAAAGAAGAAAATACATTAACCATCATTCATTCGATCATTATCTTTGATTTTGTTTTTAACTCAGTGGCCATCTCCCACCAAGGCAGGGAGACCCAAAGAAGAAAACGTATTCACTGACATTAACTCATTTGCTGTCTTTCTAGAAATATGCAGACATCATAGTCAAAGTGCCCCCTCCAACTCCAATATGCCTACTCCTCCTTCAGAGTGCAGGCACTACCCTTTCCACCTCCTGGACTCAAGTCTGGATAACCAGTTCCCCTGAATCCCTTTATAAAAGTTCTTGTACTCACACTCCAAGCACTTCCATTAAAACTACTTGTCTCCATTCACTCTTATCTAACCTACTCACTCTAGCCTGCTGGATGTTTGAAAATATGCTGGAGAATAAATTTTGAAATTCACTATTATGAACTGTGGCATGCTTTTCGTTTGGTGCTTGTACATAAAATGGGCATAACTATACCACTTTGTTGCATCATGCAGTTATTTGATTGATTCCCAGTAAGTACTGTTTTGTCATAAGAAAATTTAAGTGCTTGTGTGAGCCTTTGCATTATTTTTTATTAAGAAGAGATCATGCAATCTCCATAAAAATTATAAAAGTAAATATAAACAATGATTTGTTTAATTGACTGCATATGAAAGTACAGTGGAACCTCTACTTAGGAGTTTAATCCGTTCTGTGACCTTGCTCGCATCTCGATTTACTCGTTCGTTGAGTCAATTTTCCTCATTTAAATTAATTGAAATGGAATTAATCCGTTCCATTGTAATTCCACGTACGACAAAATACGGTGGACCCCGGTTAACACCTGGATCGGATAGCACCAAAATCAGATAACGCCTTGCTTTGGCATAAAAAAATTGGCTCAGATAACACCTGAAAACTCGGTTTGGAGCTTTCGTCCCGAACGTGTCCGCTGGGCGGGCCCGGCCAGTCACCCAGTCTACCAGCCAGTGTGCCAATTTTTACAAAGCCAGTGAGGATGATTCTACATGTACATATGATATATTTTGTATTATTTCATTGTTTTTGGTGCTTGTAACTGCTAAATATACCACCATGGGCCCCAAGAAAGCTTCTAGTGCCAGCCCTATGGTAAAGAATGTGAGAAACACATAATTTAAGAAAAAGTTTGTAGAAAGTACGAAAGTGGTGGTGGTAGTGATTGTGGTAGAGGGTGGTGGTAGCAATGGTGGTAGAGGGTGGTAGTGATGGTAGTAGAGGGTGGTAGAGATTGTGATGGTGGTAGAAGGTGGTATTGATGGTGGTAGAGGGTGGTAGTGATGGTGGTAGAGGGTGGTAGTGATGGTGGTAGCAATGGTGGTAGAGGGTGGTAGCGATTGCGATGGTAGCAGAGGGTGGTAGTGATGGTGGTAGAGGGTGGTAGCAATTGTGATGATGGTAGAAGGTGGTAGCAATTGTGATGGTGGTAGAGGGTGGTGGTGGTAAAGGGTGGTAGTGATGGTGGTAGAGGGTGGTAGCAATTGTGATGGTGGTAGAGGGTGGTGGTAGAGGGTGGTAGCGATGGTGGTAGCAATGGTGGTAGTAGAGGGTGGTAGTGGTTGTGATGGTGGTATGGTGAGGCTGCCAGTTCTGACAAAAAAGTGGCTGAAAAATATGTGCAGGACTTTTAACCCTTTCAGGGTCAGCAGGCCCTCTCCCAAACCTGTTCTCAAGGTCGCTAAAAATTCGAAAAAAAAAAAATGATTTTTCTTTTGAAAAGATAGTGTTTTTTTCTGAATTTTATAGGCTAAACAAAAAAATTTTACCATCAGTACTTACCGAGATATGGAGGCGTGAAGTTGATAGAAAATGACCAGCATACGGTAATATCGCCGACTGCCAGTCACCCGGTATTAGTTTATTTTATTTTTTAGGTACTATTTTTGTATTTTTTTTTTTTTTTTTTTTTAATTTTTTTTCCAAATAACTTTTATGGCCTGTGAGACCAATATAAGCACTGTTTTGTAAGTTATTTCTTTTTCTATACTATACAATAACTGCGTAAACACTGTTGTCACTATTTTGTTTACAAAACATATTTACAATGTTGTTTATTACTTTTTTTCTATATTTTATATACACATATACAGTCACAGGACATGATTTTAGAAGTTTTTGAAATGTGGTGTCATGCACAGTGGTGTTTTACACTCCTCACACATAAAACGAGTGTCTCTTCGTTGTTGTGGGCGTTTTTTTGTATGTGCACAAACGCAACACCTTTTCTGAGCCTTTTTCTTGAAAGCAGTAGCAGGCAGTTTTGTTAGGAAGTGATCACCATGCTTCAGATGAGAAGGTAGTTGTTGATAATTACGTGGGCGGTTTTCTATTGCAGGTGCTGTTCCTTGGTACTTGATTATTATTTGTCTGATGACAGACAAACAAAATTCGCCATATGGTGGTTTGTTTCTGGTCCTCATCTTATATATATTACAAGCATTGAGCATGGAAATGTCCAGCATATGGAAAAAGAGTTTTATGTACCACTTATAACTCTTGCAAACACAATCAGCAAACCCAATCTGCATGTCACATTTGTCCACTGAGTGCATATTGAGGGTGTAGTCAGTAACAGCTGCAGGTTTTAGAATGGTTTCATTGCTTTCTCTATGCTGCCTGCCAGTGTCTGCCATTTCATTAGGGTGAACTGATGACAGTGTGACATCTCGTTTGTCATGCCACCGAAATGCCATGATGTCATTGGCAGCAAACGCCTGCACCTCACCTCTACGAGTGCCGGCGTCGAACCTGGGCATATGTTTGCGATTTGCATGCACTGTGCCACACACATCTGTCATTTTCACTAGCAAGATATCACTGAGTAAGGGGTTTGTGTACCAGTTATCAGTATATAATATATGTCCCTTACCAAGATATGGTTCCATCATTGTTCTAACCACATCACCAGAGATACCCAGTAACTTCCTGGTATCTCGCAATGTATTATTTCCAGTGTACACAGTTATATCCAATACAAGACCACTGTAACAATCACAAAGCACAAACAACTTTATACCAAAGCGTTTCCTCTTGCTTGGTATGTATTGCTTGAATGAGAGTCGTCCTTTGAACAGAATCAAAGACTCATCAGTAACAAGCTTCCTGAAGGGATAAAAATACATATTGAATTTCTGTTTCAGATACACAAACACATTCCTAATCTTGTATAACCTGTCGTTTCTGTCAGGCCTGATTTTGTCTGAGAAGTGAAGCATACGTAATAGTAGCACAAATCAATTCTCTCGTATTATATCACTGAAACCTGGGGTTGCAATCAGGCAGTCTGTTGACCAGTATGATTTCACACTGTGCTTATACACACATGTGGCATAAGCATTGTTATGGCAAACAAAAGATACATCTCAGCCACAGTTGTCTCCTTCCACTGGTGTAAGCATGAGTTTGGTGAAAGTATTGTGTTTGCCATGGTGAACTCGTAGTATCTGTTGCTTTCCCTGACAATAATTTCCATCAGGGGTTCATCAAATAATAACTCGAAACATTCCAGTTCAGTGGCATTGTTCCTAAGTGTACAAGATGGCCGTATTCCACTTTGACTTCCATCAAAGTGATGGGGATTGGGAACAAAATTGGCAGCTTCCTGCCAATCCCAGGTGCGGTCTGCTGGTAGGTACTGGATATTGACAGGTGGTTGTGGTTGTTGAGGTTGTGGTTTTGGAGGCTGGTGTGGTAGGTGGGTGGGGGATGGTGGCCTTTGTTGTAGATCAGCTGAGGCAGCGGCGTGGGTGGCAGCATGGCCCACTGCTGGTGCCTCACGGCCGGCACCACCACTACCACCACCATCCACATTTTCCATCCCAATTGCAACACTATCATCTTCATTTTCACTGTTCCTGTTGTACAGCCACAGGATGTACTCCGAGATGTACTCCTTCCCCTTGGAATAGCATATGGCACACAACCAGAGCGCATAAATCGTCGTTGTGAAGGCTTACTCAGCCCTGTAACAACTTCAGACAGTATTACTCAGGCTGGCTCCTCCTCAGGAAAATTAATGAATAGAAAAAGAAATAATAATTCACAAAGATAAACACTATTATTTATTAAATCAAACATAAAACAATAAAACATGAAAGGTATATCCTATTTGAAAGAAAAATGAAAAATTAAATGAATAAAATAACATTTGAACTCAACGCTAATATCTACTGGCGTGTCTGGTGTTGGTGACACTGTTGTTGAAATCGTAGCCGTTGCTGATGATAGGGGGGGGTCGCAGGTGTTGGTGACCATCCACTGGCTAGTTCTTCACAGTATACCAGTGAGTAGTATCCCGATGACAGGAAAGCAGGTTCTTTACCGCTGCAATGCTGTGGAGTTACGTCCTGCAATTTCATACAGGTGCACAGGTACTTAAATGCAAAATGGGGAAGTCTCTGGACATTAGTCCTTCTCCTTTTCTGCTCGTTGATTGCCAGGTGACCCTCTCTGACATCCAAGAGTAGTGTTGGGAGCTGTGAGTCGAGTGATTTACTGTTTGACCAGAGCCCCACACTTCACCTTTCGAGGGGGGAGGAAGAGGGAGGGGAAAGGGATAGGGGAGCTAGACTGACCCTACGTTAAC